CTGTAGGTTGTTTAGTTTTTGTTTACTCTCCATCAGCATTTAACAGAACTTCCAGCGCTGTTGCCGATGTTCTCCGCAGCGTTTTTTGCTCCAGCGGCAGCACGGTTCATGCGCTTTGTGGATAAAAACTTTTTTAGCTCATTAAGGTAATGATCACCTGTTAGAGCCTCTGTCAGTTTTGCTCGTACAACTGACTCAAAGTCTTCTGGAGAGAAATGTTGAGAGCACAAATGTAGATCCTTCGGAAGTTGTGTTCGGTTCCGACTCTCTCCGACTGCGCTCTTCTTTTTTGTTTTTTCCATGTGGGAAGCGATCCAGATTCACCTCACTGTTTCTGTGTTGTTGTTGTTTTTAAAATTTCAGCCAACAGTGACACAGTGTGGCATTATCTAAAATTACACCGTCAAACACAGTCTGATGAACAACAGCTCGGGTAAAAGTTAGCCTTCCTGTGTTTACCCTGTAGATTCCAGTACCGTTATGCATCATCAACCCATCAGTGAAAGATATAACAGATGTACATTTTTTTAAAGTAATTATGAGTTTTGATGTATCGCAAACAGCAATTTTTTTAGTTAATAGGAAAATTGCAACATATTTAGGTTCTAAAATTTTGCTACATGACAAAACTTATCAAGAACATTTTTGGAGAATTTTTTTAGGTTTATTTTTTAACTTAAATCTGCAGCAGACTGATGATAACTGAGTAAAGTATTTGCTCAGTGTTTCTTTTCGACTTTGGAAAACGGGACTGCTTGAGGTGTTGTTTACGGTCGCTGAATCTGCAGCTTCTGCAGCCAAATTAGCTCAAATCAACCTTCAAAAGGGTAAAACAGAAAACAGCCGCCTGTGGCATTGAAAAAAGAAATTGATCTGGTCTTGAAGTCGCAAATCCCACGTCGCTCTGTTTCGTGGAAAAGCAAAGAGTTTTAATTAGAGCTCCCTTTGCCACCAGGTTCAGTCTCTTTGTGCCTGGGATCGCTGCCAGGCTCTGTTGTCTGAAGCTTCGGCTGTGAGTCGAGAACAAAGCCACAGATGTGAGAGTCATCTGGGTTCAGGTTTCCACTGTGGGTGCAGAAGCAATCAGGTTCTGTACCGAGGAACAAGACATGCACTGGGTCAACTACTAGCTTTTTTTAATTGCTCACAGTTGTGTTCATTTTTATAATAATTTTGAATATTGTTCAGCATTCATATTTTGCACATTTTTGTACTTCCATTTGGCTTACAAAAAACAATAATTGGCAATAAGTTAAAGTTTTTTGAGCAGTTTCAAAAACCTTCTGAATGTAATATCACAAATCAGCAGTACCTGCTGATTTGTGATATTACCTAGCAACCACACAGGAGCTCCGTCCGTTGCCTAGCAACCCAATCTGCATTACTAAGCATTTTGTCGTTGACTTATCATCCAGAAAACACTGCCTGCTTTCTTGTTGGCTGTGCAGAAGGCTCCACTTCTGCTTTTCAAAGATGTATAGTTGTATAATTGCACATCGGTTTGCAGCCATTTTCATGTACGAGTGTAAACATTGAGTTGGGGGTGAGTGGCCAGCAGCAGATTATTTGGATTTAAAGTGACAGCTCATTCTTGAGGTAGCTCACAATAGACTGAAATCTCAACAAAATGTAAGGAACATGTTTTTTTATAGCCCACAGAGCCATCCTGACCTGTTCAAAGAAACATAATAGGTCACCTTTAACAATGTTTTCTCAATTTTGGGTCATTATTTATTGCTTTTCTTGTTTGTTTTTATCCTTTCTTGTTTCATTTCTGCATATTTCACAGATTGATTTGAAATCTTTTTCTCATTTTCCTCTGATTTTTGAACGCTTCATTTTGTCGTTTTGTGATCATTTTGGATCTCTTGTTGATGATCCATCATCGTATTGCAGAATTTTATACCTTTTTTTTTTGCTATTTTTCTTGATTCCTGTTGTTGCTTTCCTTCCCAGCTCCAAATGTCAACAGTACCCTTGCGATCCTGACATTGTGCCGTGGGAGCGCTCCTGTTTCACTGTATTTCAGGCTTTTAACCTTAAAGCCTCTCTGCCTCTGTTTAAGTTCAAAAGCAACGTTCAGGGTTAATTAATTTGAACTTCTAAAGGGGGGAATCCACTGCTGGTTGCATATTAAAACCTGTCTGGAAAAGCTTTCTCCTTGGGTTACCGTGGCCTCTGCTGCACATATTTTGACCTCTGTAATTCTTGTTTTGTGCGTTAATAACGGCTATAAAGCTGTTTTGTGGACCTTGAAATTGTTTACAGTGAGCCCTCTGGGTTTTGCTTTCAGTTGGACAGCGTCCAAAAGGAGATATCGCCTCCTCCTGTCTTGTTGAGGGATCAAACACAACATTCATCCCCTTTTTGAATATGTTGCTCAATTTTGCTCGCACCAACAACTTTGTTTATCAGGATTTAAGGCGGATAGTAGAAAGTTCTGCAATTATTTTTGGATTATTTTTGCTAATTCTCCTTCTTTGACTGAGAAACTACTGAATGCACCAGAAAATGTTTCTCCAGCTAATTAATTTTAGGAGTATTTATATAAAATTAAATGTACAATGGACCCTGAGTGTTACAAGTGTGACCAAATATACTTTAATATGCATTGATGCACTCAATAGAAGTTGTTTTAGCATTAGCACAGACGCTAATAACAACCAAGCTGCATTTTATTTATAAAACTTTAGAAAAAATCTGTGAAAACACAAATTTTCCCCAAATAAACTGAGTTACGTTTCACTGTTATTGAACTGGATTTTAATCCAGTTCAATCCAGATTATTCCAGTCTGATTAGGTTTAGGAAAGACAGAAAGACATAAAATTACTCAAATGGAAATTATGAAAAAAATGCTACTTTTGAAAAAACCCATGTTTTCTGTAAAAAAAAAAAAAAAAGAAGGGTTTCTTTTTTTTTCCCGCCATATAAAAACAAAAACAAAACAAAATTGTGATGGAAACATTTCTTTCACATTACGAGTTACTACTGGCAGAAACTACAAAGAAGACGACAACAGGAAGTTGTAGGAAGATAATGTTTTATATATATATATATATATATATATATATATATATATATATATATATATATATATATATATATATATATATATATAATTTGTGTCATTCTAACATGTTGAAATCCATCTTTTTTTTCTGTAAAATGGCCGACTACAATTTCCAATCAGCAATTTCCCGGTGTATGTAGCTGCCTGAATAAGACTCCTCTGATTGGCTGAATCATGATTATTAGCTGTTTACATCCACTGCTGCTTCATTTCTTAGTTAATGGAAACACCACAACATATGCGTATATTTGTAATTTAAACGCAGCTACTGAGTCGAATACTTTCCATAAAAAGAGAAAACAAAGAGGCAGCACAAAGTTAACGACAGAAAAAAATAGCAAACAGAGAGAGTATTAGTGGAAAATGGAGCGAGTAAAGCTGGCTGCTGTCCTCCAGCAGCAAACAGAGAGAAGCTAAGCCTCTCTGACTGGAAGCTTTATCTGAACAGGTAGGTTGAGTCTATCTCCAATCACTGATTACTCCCAGCCTCGCTGACCTCCAGCCGTCCTCGCTGCTTCTTTTTACTTTGCTCAACCCCAGGATCACTTAAGGCCCCGGCTCTATTCATTCCTGCCCCATGGGAGCTGCCCTGCACTGTCCTACCCTGATGTATTTATTTTATTAATTCAATCCATCGCTGGCTTTCTCCGAGCCTGCCATGTTTTTTTTTTTTTTTTTCCCCCTGCCTGAAAAAGTGGAGTTTCTGCCCCACATGAACCAGTTATTGGCTGCAAGCTGTGAAACGAGAGGCGCCCGAAGGATTCAGGCTGAAACATCAGCATGTTAATGATGCTCAGTGGAGCAGTGGAGTTGGGAAATGTGCACTACATCTCCCCTGCAGAGATGCAGGCGGCTGCCACATAAAGCTGAATGAAGATGTGAGGCCGGAGGGCGCGCAGACGTTCTGTCGTTTGAGAAACCCAGAGGTTTTAGTGGGTTTTAAAACAAATCAAAAGACCTAAATCGCCACGACAAAAAGATTTTTGGATTGCCGCAGATCTCCTTTTCCTTATTTATTCAAGTCTTTGAAACTTTAATCCTAAATAGCGGAAACTTTGTAAGGCAGAAATCGATTTGTTTTGGAGGAGATTTTGTGGGATTCACACTAATATTCAAGATTATTCCAGGCTCCACTGAGAATCACGGATTAGTTTGGGAACTCTCCAGCTCGCTTCGCAAGAATTCATTGACCTTCGAGTCATTCTGAGAAAGTTTCTTCTTTCTTTTTTCCCTCCCTTACGTTGCAGTTGTCTCTATTTGTGTGAAATGCTAGAGCTGTGGCCTTCAGCCTCCGCTCTGCAGGAACCTGACCAGAAGGATCGTCCTTCAGCAGCAGAGACTCCAACACCTAACTAACTTCTCGCTTTTCCTTCTCGTAAGAAAAACACAGAAACTTGTTCACATGCAGTACTTTACAGACTACAGTTTGAGAAGAGGTGTCCAAAGCGCGGGATGGGGGCCATTTGTGGCCCCTGGACTGATTCTGTGCGGCCCCCAGCTGCAATTGAAAACTGATGCAAATTTGGCAAGAAAACATTAAAACTTTGAGATTGTCAGAAATTTTCCAGAAAAAAAGGATGGAAGTTTCTGAGTTTGAAAGGTTGAGAATTTTAGATAACTTTTAGATTCCTAAGATTGTAATAAGATTTTAATTTAGAAATGTTCTACTAAATTCTACATTTCAAGTGTCAAATTTTCTCCTGAGTTTTTGGCAGAAATTGCCTCGCTGTAAAAAATCTCCTTCAAGCTTTGGATCTACCTCATTTGTTTGGTTTTAGGTTGGGGGTTTATTGCATCGTGACTTCTTTAGCCAATGTGATGAAGATGGAAGTGGTCTTCAGTTTGACCCTGTGGATGAAGGTTCGAGCCAGACGCCTTCAGACTCACTCGGCTAACAGGTGTGTGTGGTCGTGTGTCCCCTGCCTTAGCAGAATCCCTGTTCAGCGGCTTGGGGCTTGGCGCGGTGGTGGGCCTCGGCCTCGGAGCGCTGCTGCTGCTCCTGGTGCTGGTGGACGTCAGCTGCTTCTTCCTGCGCCACTGCGGCCTGCTCATGTGCATCACCCGCACGCTGTGCAGCAAGAAGACGGCCACCAGCGGCAAGGGCAAAGAGATGGAGGAGGGCAAGGCGGCCTACCTGTGAGTATCCACCTCCTGCTCCTTCAGATCTTGGATCAACTGTTTGGATTTTTGATGTTTGCAAGTCGCCAGGTCCTTCATGCTTGGAACATCTGCTGTGGGTGTATCAACAACCTTAGAGACCGGAAGGGATGAATGAAAATCTGTAGAAACTGTTTCCTACTTTGGGCTGAAGAGAGAGAGAAAAACAATCAGCCCTCAGTTTAGTCGAATGTCACAAATTGCCTTTCATGTCACTCCTTTATTTGCTACAAATGAGCAAAGGAGACTTCTTTTTACCGTTTACTGTAGGTACACCTACAACAGCCGCCCCACCACCCTTTCAACCACAGTATGTCTCTGATTATGTCTTTCTCACTAACGTCTGTGCCTCCATCCACTGTGCTGTGAGTCCTCTCCTCTCCTCTGCATGCTGTGGCGTTCCAGTCGCCTGTGTTGTTGCTGCTGCTGCTGCATGAGCTGCTTCTGTGCTTTGCTTCTCCTCAGCGTAGAAGTTCACGACTCAGGATGAAACGAGGCCTTGGTTCGCCTCCGCAGAGCCGCTCTTTGATTTTTTTTATGCTGTCAGTGTGAAGGGGAGAAGAAGGAGCAGGGAGGGGGGCCTTGACTTTCGCTGAGTCACTAAGTGACTGGCTGCTCAGGCTGCATGCAGAGTGTGTGTCTGTGTGAACAGCAGAGCGATGCAAAACACTCCATACAAGCAAACACTGCAGATAGATACGGAGCAACATGAAATACTGTTGTTTTTGTACCCATATCATTACAAAATGTTGACATTCTTGTTCCTGCATTATAGTATTTCTGCATAATCTGACATTCAGGCTATTGGATGGATGGAGATTTAATAAAATCAGAAACAGTCTTAAACTGAAATGTCTAATCAGAGGATGCAACGTAGGAAAACATCGTCATCATCATCTCAGATCTCTACAGGAAGCTGTTAGCTTAGCTTCCTCCTTGTTCCACCGCCAGGATTGTTTTGATCCCATCTCTCAGGGTTCCTCCATGTTTTCTATCGTTTCAAAATTAATAACTGTAAAATCCTGGAATAAATAGCAAACAGGTGTAGACCGGTTAAATATTAAACCGATGGATGGATAACCATTGTGTGCTTAAATAATATTTTATCACTCAAATTAAAGCAGTTTTTATTTGAGTGATAACATTATTAGAATTTTTTCTCAGAATTTAGTAGAATTATTCTGACTTTAATATTTTGAGATTGTAAAAAAATTGTAAAAAAAATAAAATAAAAATAAAAATCTGAATTCTAGGAAAAATTCAAAATTCTGAGAAAAGTCAAAATTCTAAATCTTTTTTTTTAGAATTTAGATTTTTTTTTCTTTCTCAGAATTGACTGGAGTTATTCAGACTTTAATATTTGAGATCAGATTCTGGGGGGGGGAAATGTCAAAAATCTGAGAGAGAAAAAGTTTAAATTCTGTGGAAAAAAATGTCAGAATTCTACCATTTATTTTAGAATTTTGATTTTTTTGTCTCAGAATTGACTGAAGTTACTCTGACTTAAATCTTCTAAGATCACAAGTAATAATTCTGGGGGTAAATAAAAATCTAAATTCTGAGAATAAAGTCACAATTCTGACCTTTTTCTCAATACTTTCACTTTATATCTCGGAAGATTAAAACCAGAATTTTCTTCTTTTTTTTCCAGTGGCAGTAATCTTCTCCCATAGTTTTAATTTTGCCAAATTACATCAATGTGAATTGATGTTCAGTATTATTAAACTCTAGGAAGTGCTCACTGAGTGCAGAAACGGCTACTTATTCATATTTTAACGGTTTATTGACGAGTTTTACAGATCATTTTAGAGGACATTCAAAATCTTCTAAGTGAGTTTAGTCAAAACAAAAGACAAATCCTACAACCGCTAAAAACTGACGCTACGTAATAAAAATGTGTTCATTTAAAAGACTGAAATCACAAGATTTGCAGCAGTGAGGAGGAAATGCTGTCAATAAGTAGCGTAGCTTCCCAAGCTGCAATGTAAACAAAAATCTTTATAGTAATTCTCAGAGAATATCGTCGTGTGAATTAGATCATCCTTCTGGCTTTGAGGTCGCTGTGATAGTTTCCCTTTAATCCTGTGAAAGTAGAAAGTCCCACATGTTTTAATCTGCATTTGCTAGAAACCAACTGCTTCCTGAAGTAATTAGCGCAGCAGGAACAAAGTGGATCCCGTCTCCATCTGGGATTAAAAGAGCATTGAAAAAGTGATGCAACCATTTTTAAACCACAATATTTCTTTGTAGAAAACTTGTTAAATATTAAACTTCAACATGGATCCTGAAGCAGTTTGTTGTCTTTAGTTACATCTGTAACAATTTGTTGAGGAGGAAGGTATTTATGGAAGCAGTGCTCAGGTAAAAAGCAGTCAGTCAAGTTTATTTAGGGTCAAAGGCTGTAACAGAGATTTCACATTAGAGCGTAAGCTCTGACTTCCAGGGTCAAAAACTCGTCTTTTACACTCAAGGACAGGAGAAGACAAACAGTGAAAGCTGGTTTCTCAGCAGACAGATCTGACTTTTATTTATCTGCTCTTGCAGCTGCAGAAAGCAGAATAACCTTTACTGCACACAGAGCTCATTAGCATCATTAAAATATTTTAAAAATGTCCATTGCATATTTCAAAATGTGTATAAACGAAAGAAAAAGCGATAACTTGTTAGCATAGCCACTAATGGTGGCGGATAAACAGCTTTCCTGTAACCGTAAGTTGTTTCTCCACCATTAGCACATTTAGTATCACATACAAGAGGTTGATTGACTGCGTTAAGCCCCTCCTCCTGGCTCTGATTGGCTGTTTTTGTGCATTTCTTCAGATGATAGTAGTAGCTCACTGAGGAAATGAAAAAGATCGATCTTTTCACAGATTATCTGTCTCATATTAAACATGGTGACAATTTTAACAAATATGTAAAAAAAAACATATTTTATTTTCAAAAGTGACATACCTTAAAATAATTGGTAATTTTGAAATCAAATAAATATATTAAAAAATGAACTGTACCACAAACTGTGTATTTAAACTTCTGTTCTATAACTTAGATTTCAAACTTTACTGATAAAAAAAACATAAATTTTTTAGAACTAACAAGTTTCAGCTTTAAAATAGTTTAAAAAGTTCAGTTATGTGAAAGCAAAATAAAAAAAAAATAAAAAAAACTCTACTGCAATCTGTGTGCGTAAAAGTTACTCAAACTTTTGTGGTATAACTTAAATATTTCACAATTTCTTGATACAACGTATTTTTCATAGAAGTTACACACTGAAGTTTTAAAAAAATCTGGTTATTTGAAATTAAAATTAAAAAAAAGTTTTAAAAATTTTTTCCTCAAACTGTGTGAATAAACAGTTACAACTTCAACTTCTGTTTTATAGCTTTTAGATTTCACACTTCACTGATATTATTATAAAAGTTATACTGCAACTTTAAAAAAAATTGCTTTAAATTTATATTTGAAAGCAAAAAAAAAATTGAACCGTACCACAAACCGTAGAGTTATAAAATATAAACTTCTGTGGTATAAATTTATTTCAAACTTTACTGACAAGAAACTTATTTTCTTTTCTAAAAGTTACATGCTGCAGCTTTAAAATATTTAGAAAGTCTTGTAACTTTGAAACTACAAACTGCGCATAAAGAGTTACAACTCCAACTTTCATATCTCACACCTCTCTGAAATGCATCGCGTGTTGATTTACATGCAAGCAGGAGGAACCAGGATGTGAGGAAACTCCCCATCTGAGGTCCAATCTGGGTTTGCATGAAGCTAATGAGACATGAAATTGGCTCCACTCTGCAGCCACTCCAGCATCCACCAATCAGGCGAGGGGAAGCCCCCCGCTGCCCGCGGCAACATTTGGGCTTATTAGGTTCAGCGGGTCACTGTTTTACATTCACGATCCGGTTGGCCGGGAAACTCCCCCGCAGTTCAGTAAATGCCCCAGATGTAAAAAATCAACCATTTGCTGCTTGTATAAATACAAATTTCTATTAATGAAGAGTTGGAGTGTCGAAGCTCGCCCCGGTGGTGAACTCTGCTTGGTTCTTCAGTTGATCTAAAATAACTTTTTCCCCAAAGAACTGGCCAGATATTAAAGTGATTCATCAGCCTGACTGTGTTTCCAGATACAGTCGTGTTTCTAAAGCGATCAGGGATTGATTTTCTCTAATCAGAGCGATGGATCAAGTGGAAATGAATCCTCTAAATCTGAATGACTGGAGTTAAAATTCAACATCTGAAATGTTCCTGATGGAGTTTGAGGCTTTATGTCTCAGATCTGGAGAATCTGAAAGTGTCTCCATCACACTTCCTCTCTTCCTCTTGTTCTTTCCATCCTTCTTCCATATTTCATCCTTTCCTTCCTTCCTACTTTAAGCCCTTTTTTCTCTTCTTGTGTCCTTCATTTCTTCTCACTTCTTCCTTTTGTACATTTCCTCGTGGCCTTATTCACCTCATCATGGCTTTTCCTCCTTCTACTTCTTTCTTTTGGTTTCTTCCTTTCTTTACTTTTTTCTTTCTTTCTTGCTCTTGTCATTTTTCTGTTCCTTCACTTTTTCTTTTCTTCTTTCCTTGTTTCTTACTTTGATTCTTTCTTTTGTTTTTCTTATTGAACCTTCTTTCATTTTTATCTCCTTCCTTTTTTCTTTATTTCCTTTCTTCCATCTTTTCTTCTTTTTCTTTCTTATCTCATTTTTCCCTTATTTCTTTTTTCTTATTGTTTTTGTTCATTTTCTTTTCTTTTTTCTGTATTTCTTCCTTTTTGTTCCTTTTAAATTGAACTTAATGGTTGAAGTAAAAACAAAAACAGATTTTTCTTAGTTTTTCATCCATTTTTTGGATGAAAACCAAAAACTGAACATAATTTTTTCATCTTATTATTACACAAAACATATTATTATTATCAACTTTTCTTCTATAAATTCACATAAACTAAAATACGTTCAGAAGTTTACATTCAGTTTATCAGGACTTAATAAAATCACCTTTAAACTGTTTGATCGATTATCCCTCATTATGCTCTTATCTGATTGCTCCATCCGTTTTGTGACTTTGTGAAGTAAAACTTTCCCACATCATGACACTGCCACCACCATACCACTGGAAAAATGACTCCACGTTTTTCCAACATGGTGATTTTAGTTTCTACTTAGTTTCCTCGTCAGAGTTTTGCATCTGCAAACTGTAATGCCTCACATTTTAGAGTCGTCTTCCTTCCTTTCCAGCTCATGTCGGTATTTTTATTATTTTTTAAACTTCAGATAGTGACACTTAAATTTCTTATGGCAAATTAAATAAATCTTTTTCTGGTTTTTGTTTGTAAAAAAGAAATGAAGCACATAAAAGTAAAGAAATGAATTACACCAAGTGTTTTATTCTTGTTCATTTCGCTCAAATATTCCAAATTATTTCTAACAAATTTTGTTTTGTTTATTTTTCACATTTATTTCAGTGTTTGAAAAATAAGTTTCACTTTCAAATGACTGTAAATTTTATGGGGGTTTTTTTCTTACATTTTGTAAATATTCGCTACGATCTGAGCCCATTCTTGGATGGTTGACTTTCCTCTACCATAATTTTTTATTTTTTTTTAGTTTTTATTTATTGACTGAACTTTAACATAATTGTTTTTTTTTCATCTTTTATTTATTTTTAACTTGTCTCCTATTCTCTAGAATAAGTTACTTTTCCAGATTTAATCGGTTCTTAAAACTTATTTTTATTCGTTTGCATTTATTTATAGCTTTTCTGTTGTGATATTTTATTTATTTATTTCTATTATTTTATGTTTTTTGTACAGCACAAGCTTCCCTGTGTACTACTTAGGCCTGTCACAATTAATCAATAAATCAATTAACCACATGATAAATTAAAACTCATTTTACGTTTTATTGTTTTTCGTTCTTTTTCTACCAAAAACTGGATGATAAAAGTCTTCAGTTTGGTGTTTTTGTCTCGACCAGCCAGTTTTTGGGAGACTAAATAATCCATTTTATTTGTTTTGGTTGTTTATTTTGAATATTTCAAATATCTTCTAGTTTCAGTGTTAAAATATTAATTAAATTCATCTTTAAGAATCTGTTCTTGTATTATTAGCTCAAAACGATAATATTACAGTTTATCACGATAATAACTGGGACAATTTATCATTTAGAAAAATATATTGCGACCTTTCCTTCCTCATTTCCTTCTTGTGTTTTTCTTTCCCATCTTGAGTCCTTATTCCCTTCATCCCATCCTTCCTTATTTGCATCCTATTGTTCAGACTCATTTTGAAGCAGGAATATTTACAATCTCTGTTGGTTTTTCTTAAATAAAGCAACTCATTCATGCATTTAAAGAATAATCTAAATTATTCCTGGGCTTTAAATGAAAAACACTCTGTTTTATGTGCACATTTAGTGTTTGCGCTCCATCCTGAATCCTTAAATTTCTGGTTTTGAGCGGTGAAAAGCTGTGAACCTCTCCTTTCCTCCTGTCGCTCCGCCTCTTTTTTTCCTGCAGGAAGCTGCCGCTGAAGGAAGAAAATGGCAAAGAGTCTCTCAAGCCGGATACGATTGAAATCAAAGTGCACAGCGACAACAGCATCCACATAAAGCCGGACGACAGCAAGGCGTAAAAATAAAAAAATAAAAAAATATATATATATATAAAGTAACGGTAAAGAAGAACGGGGTCGGCTCCCCTCGCCACCAAAAGAACATTCGGATCACGAGACCAACGACCTGGAAAAGTGAAAATAGTGGAGTAAAATACTATATCTGTTTATATTAATGCCCGAATGAAAGGCACGTGTAAATAAAATTAAAAGAGAGGAAACGTGAAGGAAACTTTTTGACATCCAGAAGGCATTTTGTTCAGTAGGAGCCTCTTAAATGATTGTATTTTTTATTTTATTTTTTGTCTCTTTTAATGAAACTCAGAATTTCCTTTTCGTTGTTTTTTTTATCGCGGTTTGGTATGGTGAAACAGCCGCCATCTTTGTTTCTAATTTTCTGTGTTTTCATGCTTTGGAGACGTATAAACAAATCAAATAATGTTTCTAAACACTAAAAAAAAGTGTTTTTGATCTGAAAGTGACCCAAAGCGTGGAAACACTCATTTTTACCCCAGATCTGGCTTTTATTTTGAAAAGAAAGAAACCCCTTTTCTGTTTCGGACTCTCTCTGATGTCGTTGTGTGTTGTACATAGGTGAAAAAAAACGGATATTTTACAGAGCTTTTATGTAAATATATTAAAAAAGGATGTCTTTTTTTCCACAGTGCAGAAGGCTTGGCTTTTGTTTTACTTCCTCTCCCCGTTGCGTTCAGGTTCTGGTGTAATATTGCTTTTTCCGCTCATTTGCTTCCCCTTGAGGGAAACCCGAACCCCGAGGCGATTCCACGGCAGTAATTATGGCATTAATGTGCCTTTTCTTTTTTCGCTCCCTTTCGTGCAGTTCGCTCCATGAAATCAGCTTCTGATTTGCTGCTTTTTGCGGCGGAGAGAGTGGATGTTTATGGTGATGCTGCGGCGGCCGGCCACTCTGGACTCAGATGTGGAACACGGTTCCGACAGAAAATAAGAAAATGGATAAAGTGTTTGCATTTTCAGACTTCCTGTCCTAAAAGTTGGTCTTCTTTCTTTTTCTTCTTTTTTCTCTTTTGTTAATTTCCTAATTCCTTCAGTCGCCCACTCCCTTTACTTCCTTGTCTCCTAACTTGTGTCCCTCCTTTACTTGTGTCCTTTTTTCCTCCCTCTGTTCCTCTTTTCTTTATTTCTTTCTTTCCCTCTTTCTTTCTTTCCTTTTTACTTGTGTCCTTTCCTTTTTCCTTTCTTGTATCCTAACTATCTCCCTTATTTGTTTTCTACCTCACCCATCCT